ATTATGCCAAAATATCGCATATATCAAATTTCATCACCTTTTTTGTACTATCTTTTCATCTCACTATTTATCGTATCGGAAATAAGGCAAAAAATAACAACAACAACAGCACCAGCATCACTGGCGTCATTGCTCTAATTTATTTTTTGTTCGCCTTTCTGTTGTTCATTTTGTCAGTCATTCGTTAATTTCTACATGTATATATATATATAGGAAAATCTTTTAATGAAAATAATCTAAACTTTTTAAAATTTATAACTTTTAAAATCTTTTTCTGCATTAATTAAATTACTTAAATATTGTTTGATTATTTCTTTTGAATTTTCGGTCTTCTCATCCATTCAAAGATTAATAATTAATAAAGATGAAGTAATAATTTATTAAAGCTTAAGATATACTTACTTATTCATTCGTACTTACATCCCATCATCTACACATTTATTTTTATTTATTTACTTATTTTTCATCATTTTAATTATTATTTCATTATTAAAGATTTTATTATTAATATTATAGCTTATATTGTTTTTAACTTCATTTCATGACATTTTTTTAAATTAATTTAAATTAAATTAAATGGATGACAGAATTTAATGAATGTAAGGGATAGATATGAATATTCAGTGTTCATGAAGGAGTTTTAGTCTTTCTTCCCTTCAAATTTATGTTTATATTTATCATTTCAATGATCGAAATGCGGCTTTGTTCACGACGAATCATTCCGCCTTTTCGTATAGTGAATGATTAAATGGGTTAGATAGGCATCTGTCTCTGCCTCATTTTTAGGATCCTTTTTAATTTCATATCAGCAACTGAGACTTATTATTGATGCTACTGATGCTATTTTTATTTATTATTTGCTATTATTATCATTATCATTATTATTATAATTATGATTATAATAATAAGTACTACTTTAATTATTATTATCATTAATTAATTATTGATTGTTATTATCATTACTATCACGATTACTATTATTGGTATTATTAATCATTATCATTTAATATTATTGTTCATTACTGTTGTACATATTGTACGTATTGCTACTATCATTAGCATTATCAATTACTGATAGCAATAATATTAATGGTGCTATTGTTGTTAATATTTTTGTTGTTAATATTTTGTATACTTTCAAATATTAAAATACCGCAAGTTACCATATTGTAAAGATTTAAAATAATCTAAAAAGCAAACTAGATTAATGAGGCATTAATTCAGTTAGGAAGAATGATAATTCTGGAATCGCTACTTGTAATAGAATGATTTATCTACCGATAATATATCTACTGATACTATCTACTGATAGTATAGATCTCAATCATATCTTTCTGAAACTGTGATAATTCGTCACAATCCATCCTTTTTACATTATCCATAAATTGTTTATGGAAATTTCTACAATTTAATATTTCAGTAATTATTGCTAAAATAAAATTTTTGGATATTCAAAAATACTAATCGATAATTTTCTTTGTTGTACATTTTCAAAATAAGTATTCCTAATCATTTCTAACATTTGTAGTCACAAATATTTCTTGATTTTTTCAATTTTCCAACAACGCCCAATTACAATTCTTATTCATACCCATCACCTCTCTTTCTTTTCCTCTCTCTTTCTCTCCCTTCCATGTTATATCTTGTCCATTGCATACCACTCCAATTATTACTAGCATTATAGCAGTGACTAATAACAAATCTTTTCAACCCATACGCTATGTATCCATTATTTCGTCACTTCCACCTATCTCATACATTCTTTCATTATACTTACTTTCCTTCCTGTAATATTTTGTAAATCTTATCAATCTTAAATTCTCTACAAAATTGTTTTCTTTTTTATTCACTGTTGCGGAAAGTTTGCAATGGGACATTATGAAAAAATTATACTGCTCATATCATCTCGCTTTTTAAAGAGGTTTTCGGGTTGTTGTCGTGATTCTCGTCACTTGTCCTTGTTATCTTTTACGTCTTTCATGTTTTTTTCTCTTATTGGCTAACATATTCATACCTAAGCTTCGTCTTCATGCATTTCCGCTCCTTTCTTGTTAAATTTTTCGAAAACTAAACGTTATGTTTTCACATTTTATGTGAACAATATTTGTAAGGATATTTAACTAATAGGTATAAGACTATTTCATTAACAACTCGTACACCGTAGCTAGGTCAGTCTATGTTGTGTCTAGTCGTTGCTTCTGTTTACTCCTTCGCATACCCTCTTATCGATTAATTTAAATTTGTCCCGAATTTCATGCTCACTACTCCGTTTACATATTGACTGAATGACTTACATGCTAAATTAAATGAGTTTATTGTCATGCTGAATTGGTTGCTTATCCGCTCTCTGACTCACTAATTCATTTATACAATGAATCATTTGTTAACTTACTCACTTGTTAGCTAACTTGTATGTTGAACGTTTACTTGTTCTTTTTTTTTTACTTATTTAATCCCTATTTTCCTGACTGCCCATCAACCTCATAGGAATTTGCAATTAATCAAGTATTAATCTGAGCCCTTTTAATTAATGATTCACTACTTCTACCAAGTAATGGGAATGACATTGATAATAACGATGACAAATGATCGTAATAGTAATATTATTTCCAATTGATAACACTGTCATAAGCAATAAGGTGGGATGGAATGTTGGTCATATATTGTTAGGTATTAAATGAAGTGTAATTACCTCAAATTTTCCTTATCTTTTTACCTAGCAGATTTTTTTTTGTTTTCCAGACTGATAATAGATAACACGGATAGCAAGTAGTCATTCCACCTATCATCAGCAATTTCCTCTTTGGGTGTTGTGTGCTGACCGGACATCATCCTTCTGGTCATTATATAATTATTCCACTCATCGTTAGCAGCGATAGCGAGAGCAACGACGCTAATACCTGTTTTTCGGTTCTGTTGATCGGTTTTATTCCTTTTATCTTCTTTCGAAGCTATGATTCGACGAAGTCCACGGTTTTGGTTTCTCAATTGTTGCATTTCGCCACAGTCGGAAGTACGTTTATCGTAACTTACATATATTTAGAACCTCTAACTTTGCATATGGTGTTGCACTTCAATAATTATGACAGGGTAGTCCAGCCAC